TATGACAGGGCTATTCTCCTAAGGTTGAATCCATTCCCCTGTCACTTGTTGCCTTCCTATAAAAGTAAAACTAAAAAAAAAAAAAAAAATTATGAGTTTAAAAGGGAGTTTGGTATGACAGGGCTATTCTCCTAAGGTTGAATCCATTCCCCTGTCACTTGTTGCCTTCCAAAAAAAGTAAAACTAAAAAAAAAATATATATATATATATATACACATATAAAAATATATATATACAGATATATATATTTAGTGCTATATGCTTATTTGATAAGACTTTTTTTTTAAAGCAGTAGAATCATAATTCTAGATAGTAACTGTCTTTGGGATGGAGTATAGTCAAGGGTACAGGATGGAGAGGAGCACCCACATAGATACAATGGTGTTAGTAATGTTCTAATTCTTAATGTGCTGGTGGATTAATGGAGTTCATTTTATTATAATGTTTTAAAGCATATTCTTTTGAATTAAAAATAGTTATTTTTAAAAACAAAAAATATCATGATAGATATATATCATTAATCACAACAAACGTAAATGGATTAAATTCTGCAGGTGAGGTACAGAGATTGTCAGATTGGATTAAAAAAGATAATTCATGTTCTACACATGTCACAAAAATAAAACCCAGCTATAGGAGACACATCAAGTAATCCAGAATATAGAAATGTTGAAAAAAATGAGAACGTGCTATACCAATCAATATTACTCAAAAAGAAACTGGTGCAGATTCCTTTTTATCCGTTGTCCTATGTAAGACAAAATAACTGAAAGCAAAATTAAGAAAAGGTCACTGTATAAGGATCAAGAAAACAAGCATTATGCTATAAATACTCATTTATGCACCAAATAAAACAGCTTCAAAAAGCAAAATATTAATCGATTTTCAAAAATAAGTAGATCAATGTACAATCATAGTGATAATACAACTCTCAGAAACTGATATGTATAACAGACAAATATTAACAAAGATTAATAAACATTTAAATGCATACAAATTGAAAGCTAGACATATATAGAACACTTCACACATGGAACTTTTATAAAATTTAACATCCTTTAGTACATGAGGACACTGATATCATAAAGATCATATTCACTGAATCACAAAGAGTAACCGCAGCAGAGCCAAAAAGTCATATAAAGCCATGACATATTTAGAAATTCTATGGGCTGGCCCCGTGGCTTAGTGGTTAAGTGCGCATGCTCTGCTGCTGGTGTCCCGGGTTCGGATCCCGGGCACGCACCGATGCACTGCTTCTCCGGCCATGCTGAGGC